TGAGCAATGAAAATAAAAGTTTGAGTTAATGTTAAATAAAATAAATCTGGTGAAATATCTGAATAAGATAATTGCATTTGCTCACTCACGAAATCATTAAAATTTGTAGTCATTCAACAGCCTTCAATGCTAAGCTTATAAATAATCACTAGTTAGAGTAAGAAGGAGACAGAAGATTTATCAAAAATTAAATTAAATTATTGAAGTGAAAAGATAGAATCACCTAAGGAGAGGATAGATGAGGTATCTTGACTGAAACGGTTTGGAAAATCTGACAGAAGGCGCATTTTATAAGTATGGGTTGGAGGGAGGGAATGGAATAGCCAAAACAAAACTGGAAGTCCTACCGGAGTCCAGGATTGAATAGATGGCAAATAAGTGGCATAAAATGTGGGTGATGTGTTAAAAGCCTCTAGAGTCACTCTAGGTGTCTAAAAAAGTATGACTACAGGGTCTTTTTGGCTAATTGCATCAACTGAAAAATTCTATAATACGAAGTCTCAGACAACATAGTATTTGCTGTTTATAATGGCTCATATAATTTAAACCAAAATGTTATTCTCAATCAGGATATCTGATGAAATAACAAAATTATAAATTTACTTGGCCACTGAAACAAGCGTAAAGGGTTTTACCATGTTTTGCTATCTTTATCAGTTCCCAATAAAATTGGCAGGGAGGTAAGTTGTTGCTTAATTCTCTACGATGCTGCAACTTTGAACACAGGCTACATTACTCTTTCCAGCTGAAGCTATGATTTAATCAACGATAATAATTCCACAAAATCTACTCTTGTAATTCATGACGGTTTTTTTCAGATGTATGTAGCTGGTAGCTCTTTTCTTCTTTGTAGGGTGCTATATTCACCACCTTTTACACATATTTGAAATGTAGCTTGCCATATCGAAGCCACTATTCTGGATTAGACTGTTGCTCAGGTTTACCTTTTCAAAGTCCTTTTCCAGTTTAGATCACCAAATCGTTCATTTATCAGGCTTTGTATTGTCCTACTACCTGGAAACTTCCATGAAAATTATTATTATTATTATTTCAAATAGCAGACGTTTCGAATAGCCATCATTAGCCATTTAGCTGACTTAGGGCTTCAGAGAGGGAGAAACATCAAAGTGAGAAAAATTCGGGAGGGGAAACAGAAGAGTGATTCACAGATGTAGATGAGACATACAGACAAAAAAGCAGAGAAAAGGTGAGTTGCGTACATGGAAGTTGTGGAATATGACATACAGTGGGATGATAGCAGTTTGAAGTGAGAAGTCAACTGCCGGTTTATAGACGTTTTTGTCGTATGAGTATACGTTGCTCAGGGTGCATCACGTGGAGGTAAGTATATCACGCACCACACCATGGAAATTATTATAGTGACAGGATAAAATTTGGGATTGTAGAACTGATAACAACTCAAGCATTGCTACAAGGTCTTTTACTGTTCACTCAAATGTTAAAAGACAAAATCTTATAGATTATTAATGAATGCTGAAATACTTTCAGCTTTATATTACTTTCTCATGAATCATTTTTATTAATTATGAAGAATCAAATTTATTTTTCAGTTTTCCGACATTAGGCTAAAGTCACATCATCGTTAATTAGGTGATCTTTAATTCAAACAAATATTTTGGAAAATAGAAATACTAATTAAGTCGTAGTTCCTTTTCCAAGAACTATAATTTGTCTCAGTCTTCTATATTTATAAATAGCCTCTTTTAAGTTCTATGAACAGAATTAACTCAATTAACCCAAGAATTCAGGAATGAATGTAAATTTGGTTTATTTCCAGCATAGGGATATTGACAACAAAATAGCAATTGCCCAGCTTGAAATTCTGAGTGAATAACAATTTGCTCTGATTTACCATGACAAGCAATTAAGTATGAGTGAATTCAATCAATCAAATAGAATTAGAACGTGCAGCTAATGTTCAAAATCTGTTTACTTCCATTTCTTAAATAAATTACATTACTTTCTGTTATACTTTTCAAGTGTTTGAATTAATGGATTTATGCACTGTTTCCAGTCCAGTCATTCGCCTGTCTTTTGATTGAAGTGGCTAGACGAGCATTCGTAACATTTGTTTAGACCAGTCAAGTTACTCTAAAAGAATCTTATTATTATTAATATTTTTATTTCATGTATCTTATTTCATTTAGTAAGTAAGTCAATATATAAAAGTAACAATGGATATTTGCCAGCTTTTGACATAATTGATAACCCAGTAATACTTATTTTTTAAGCAACTTTTAAAATCAATCATATTATTTCACGAATTTAACGAATTTTAAATGCTTAATTAAGTATTTATAAACATCAGGGTTTAAAAATTTATTATCATTGAAAGCATTTTACCTGCAATTATGGTGCTTTTGACAAATGGAAAAACAAAATTGGAATTAAGACTCATGCAAATACAACTGAAAGGAGAAGGTATTATTATTATTATATCAAATGGCAGGCATTTCGATGGTTATCATTAGCCCTTTAGTTGACTTCAGGCTTCACAGAGGGAAGAAACATCCGTATGAGTATACGTTGCCCAGGGTGCACCACGTGGAGGTAAGTCTATCACACACACCTGGAAGGAGAAGGTGACGCCGTAAAAGTAATTGCCTTTATTTCCACATTTGAAATAGCAAGGACAGAATCACATCCAAACTATAGAGGAGAGAAGTTCCCGCGAGAGCAAAGCATTTTCCGAGTTTGACAGACCGGGGACCTTTAAAGTTCGCTAAAAGATTACTTGTGTTAATTGGAACGCGCTATAACAAGTCTGAAAATTTTTTCTAGGAATCGACTCTTTAATTTGAGATTTTATAGGAAGATTAAATATTTTTTTCCTAGTGGGGCTTTTAGCTTGTACTAGTTTGGAAAATAAGAAACTCAAAACAAAAGAACTCTGAACACCTTATAGTTCTATGTATTCGATTGCTCATACAGGATAGAGAATTTTCCTACTCAAAAGGAAAACATATCAGCGTGCTTGATCATTCCAACGAATGCAAAATATGTGAAATCAAATCTTTATATTTCTTGTATCATTCAGTTTAAGGATGCTAAGGAATCGATCTGCAGGATAATCGTTTCCCAGTGTCATTCTAGTTGTCAGCCATTCTCATTATTAGATATAAACAAACAATGGTAAAATTCACGATTTCTGACTAGATATAAATATATTTTAGAGAAATTTCTTCATTTTGCCTTTGTGGTTTACTTCGACGAAATTCCTTTGTAAAAATTGTCTAAACTGATCATTATCTTGTATTTTGCAAGAAGAAATTTTTTGAAGTGCCCAGACTACTCCTTTTAATTAAGTGACTGTTCAAAAGAAATTGTAAATTTTAAAAAGAATTGTTAAAGTGCTATTATAAAGGAAACATAAGATTTATATATGTTGGCTTAGTAAGCTCTTCAAACCGGAAAATGATACGAGATAATTCTTTTGACATTTAATTTCACTTTATTTACCATTAATTTTCGTTCAAATGTTTTAACAACTTACGCGCAAAGAGGGAACACTACAACATTATCTGCGTTTCAATAATCGCATTTTAATGATTATTAATTTACCATGACGTGTTCAAGTAAATTCATGGAATATATAAAAAAACTGACACATTCTACGAGTGCGGCATTTTCTATGATAAAGTTTTGTAAGACATTAATTGAAGGCAAAAACTCTGTTTGATGGCAACATAGTTGTTCAACATTTGAACCGTTATGCTGTACCAGCATTTGAAGTTCCATTACATAGATATCTTAAATAAAGATTTTCAGAAAGGAGAACTTAGCAAAATACTTGAGTATGCGCGGAAGGAAATTTCCTTATTTCTATTACCTGATTTCTGTCATGTCAATTCATTTAAACAATAAATTATGAGATTATGCCATTCTTAGTATTAAAATGAAAGTAATAAAAGAATAATTGAATTTCAGACTTTGACAATTTTTATAAATTTAAATCTCTTATTTGCTATATATTGTACATGCACCTTATTGACGTTGCTAGGCAACGTATACTCATACGGCAAAAAGGTCTATTAACTGGCAATTGACTTCTCAATTCAAACTACCATCACCTCACTCTATGCCATATTCGACTATTTCAATAGTTCTCACCTCACCTTTTTTCTACCTTTATGCTTGTCTCTTACATCTTCGAAACACTCTTCTGTTCCCTACCTCTCGATATTTTCAATTTGATGTTCCTTCCCCTCTGTGAAGCCTGAAGTCAACTAAAGAGCTAATGATAACCATCAAGACGCCTGCCATTTGATATAAATAAATAAATAAATTTTGGTGGAAATTTTGATTTATAATCANATTTTTTTCAAATTTCATGAATCGAGAATGGGGTTTGCGATAGACTTACTTCCACATGGTGCACCCTGGGCAACGATACTCATACGGCAAAAAATTCTATAAACCGGTAGTTGACTTCTAACTCCAAACTACCATCACCCCACTGTATGCCATATTCGACTACTTCCGCAGCACTCACCTCACCTTTGCTCTACCTTTGTGTCTGTCTCTTTTACATCTTTGAATCTCTTTTCTGCTCCCCCTCTCGAATTTTTCTCACTTTGATGTTCCTTTCCCTCTGTGAAGTCCGAAGTCAACAAAAGGGCTAATGATAACCATCAAAACGCTTGCCATTTGATATAAATAAATAAATGATACGAGAATTAAAATGACAAGTGCCCATATACCTCCTAAAGTGGGAAAAAGTAATCTGAGGCGCTTTTACCAATAATGTCCTCCTCTATAAGTGCATTGATTCCATCGTTAGAATTGTGCGCACCCATTGTTATTAAGGTAAATCAATGAAGGTATTCTATTCATTGGTCAATCTGTTATTTTAAATTACCCACTAAATGTAAAAGCGAATGTGCATATGCTTTCGAGAACTTGGTGAGTGTTGGAAGGTGATGTATTTAATAATAATAATAATAATAATAGAGCTTTTTATTCATGCACTGCGGGGAAATATGTCTTTTACTATTCACGGTAATAATGTTTTCGTGTTATTTCCGTTATAGGGCACGAAGCTGGCGTGTTAATCGTGGCGACATTAGCAAAGCTGTGCATCGCTATGTCCTTTGCCTCCGCCTACGTTTACGCATCCGAAGTGTATCCAACCTCAATCATCAACGCTGCGGTTGGTTTCTGCGTCACTTGTGGACGTCTTGGAGGAACAGTAGCTCCGGCGTTACTCGCATTTGTAAGTTAACTCCTCCTGAAGGGGGGGGGTGGAGGGATTTCGATAGCCGTGGGATTCAAATGGTCTCTTTTAGAAATTATCAGATGATGATAACGCTTACTTAGAAGATAATTGAAATTGGCATTGGCTCGGAGGTGTTCAAATATTCGAACCCCTTCATGGTTCTCTATGAAAATAGATTTTAGCCGAGCCTCCTTTTCTTTAATTAAGAAGGTCAAGGTCTCCTATTGGCTGTGCGTAGATTGATATTCACTGAGTGTATGCCTGTTTCATGGAGGAGGTTTATGGTCTTGAGTGATGGACTAGAAGCCACCATTAGCGAATCGAATTTAATTTGGGAAATGGGTTAATCACGCCTAATGCTGATGCAATTTATGGTGACTGGTGACTTTCCAGCCGATTTCGCGGTTTATGTGGTCGACTGGAGGTAGCTCGTGTTTTGCTAAAAGTACTTTCTGTCTGTACCCAGCCAACATAAAGTCACTTATTTATCCCCCCATTGGATCACATTGAAGTGAGTTTGGAGCATTTAAATTTTCTAGATTTTTAATCTATTTTTTTGTTATCTTACGATAATCTATGTGAGCTCAAATGTGTCTATAGCCTTTTGTTTGAAATGATCACTTTCACCTCGCACTAAAGGTAAGATAATTGAGTACAGTAATAAGTTTGGATTTATTTGCACACAGTGAGCATTCGAGAAGGTGAAGTTAAGGAGTACAACATCGGCGTATTCCATTACGTAAACAAACCCAATTGCTTTTGCGCACTTAACGAGCATATTTTCACATTTCCAAAAAGGTTGGTGTTCTCGTATTTGAGCAGCAGTAGCACGAAGAGCTGGCGGAAAATTCTGTTTTAGTCGCTAAGTGAACTGTTTTATCGTGTATGCGGCTTAATTCCCCCCTCCCCCCCTCCTCGTCTCCACTGACATTCTATTTTAAACAAACTGGGAAAGTACAATTTCTATTCTTGTATTAATTAACCAGTAAGTTGAAACTGACAATAATACCACATTTTTAGACTTTGCTACAAAATACGTTTTATCGAAGACTATATTCGGCTCATGGCATAGAGTGAGGTGATGGTAGTTTGAANATGATAACCATCAAGACGCCTGCCATTTGATATAAATAAATAAATAAATTTTGGTGGAAATTTTGATTTATAATCATTGATATTATAGGTACCATTTTGATTAATACATGTGAATTCCTTTATTCATAAATACGAGGTTCAGTAAGGTGGTGTGTATTTAAATCATTATCACAATGCAAGACGCATATTGATGGTGGCAAATAGTTGAAAAGCATTTTTAATTTGAAATCAAATCTACGTATATTTTTATTTGTCTATATTATAACCACTAAAGTATTGAAATTATAGGATAGTGGAAGTAAGACTAATAAGAAAAGAAGGAACAATCATAGAATAGAGAGAGAGAGAGAGGAGGAGAAAGAGCGTGAGAGCGGTTGAACGTTAATTGGGGACACGGCAGAGGAAATGGCGAAGAAAAGTGTGGAGTGTGTGTGTGCGTGTGTGAATCGGGCGACTGCACCGCTGGACTTTAGAGATAAAATCTGAAGCATCGTGACAGAGACGATTTTTTCAAATGCGACCATTGGAAATTAGTTAAGAAAAGTATAAAAATAGTTTTATTTGTGAAACAATATTCATTTCCTTTATAATTTTACTACAACATAATTTTAAAAATTAGGACCATACTATAAACGTCTAGGAATATTTACACCTGTTGAAGAGAGTAAATAAGCAAACAGAAATATCTAGATACAAAATTAATTAAAAATAAATTTTCATAGTCTGTTTAAGGCATAAGCTTGATAATGTATAAATTACAATTCTTATGCCATAAAGTAAAAACTTCAATTCATAGAGAATCAAATTCTGGCGAGTTCTCTCCACCTTATAAACTCTATTTTTCTACTTTTTTCTTGAATAAGTTTAAAGTAATTTAACCAAAAATAGATAAATAATTTTAGCTCCTCTTTTTGAAATGTAAATAAGATGTTTCTTTGTTGCTCTGTCAGCTACTTTTACCGAGCAGTGAACTTCTCCTTCACGGATTAAATTATTCGATTGCAAATGAAAAAAATGCGAATTGTTTCGCTAATAAGCACTAACTTATGCTCAGTAATCTATATGCCAAAACCCCCTTCTTTCGATTGGCTCCCGGGTTCAGTTAAGCTACCGTAAGGCAATAGAAGAGACAGACGTGTGGCGTGGAACACGTTTACGTGGGTTGTGTGTCGATGACACGGTGCTTAGTCGTTGTAATACAATGCAGGGTTTGTAAAGTAAAGCAGGGTACATTGATTGACAGTTGTCTGAGAGGTCTTTCCGTTCACTTCTGCATTTGCTCTCTAATCGATAACTAGCAGGACGTGCTTTCGAGTCCATCTGAGTGCACATTATCAAGTTGCACCTTGATTAGGATCTCAGTATATCCCAATAAAACAAGTAGCATTTATTTATTTGTCAACCATAAACATCTAAGAAATTTATAGTTGCTGAGTTATCAGTATCAGTATCAGTATCATTATCATTATTATTATTCTATTTATGCAAAGTAGATACTCATGGCACAATGTCAAAGCAATTATTTTCTAATTTCAACGGTTATTTCTCTTCAAGTAAAGCGCCAAATAATCAATAAGTTTTAGTAATTAATTCCGCATTAGATTATGCCATTTATTAATTTATAATGCTAATGATCGATATTAAACAGTATAAGTTCAAGAGTATGCAAAAAGGCATATATTTGACAAAGTTAAAGGAGTCTACCATGTTCCATAGAAATTTGATGAATTAAAAAGTCTCTAAAGTTCAGGCACAAAACTATGGGACAATTTTTTTCTGAAAGTAGATAAGGGGAAACTTTATGCCTCATGACTTTGGTTTCAAAGGTCTTCAAAATATAAAAGGTAAAATTTATTCAAACATAGGCGATCTTTAGTGGGTTACATTCATTGAACTGCGTTATTCAGCTGTTTCTAGCAAAAAAACCTACATTATTTAATAGCGACTACTGAGTATTATGGGGTGTGGAGCACCCAATGACGTCACCACCAAAAAAGGTAATCTCATATGCACTCAAACAGGCTCACAGGTGCGTCTGAACAGCTTTGCGCAGAAAGGAAGTGCGGACATGAATGCTAAGAACATACAGCCAAGCGCTAATCTAAGGTCCTCGCTTGATTTACCAAGCCCGCCTCGTCCTCGTCTGTATGGACACCACACAGGTCAACGCTAAATAAATGTGTTCCGAGACATAAGTCTTTTTCCTGCGAAGCTGTACGGTAGCTTAGCTAAGCCTAGAAGCCTATCCAAACATAGAAGAAACTGCCACACACATTTCTAAGTAAAGTTTAGGCCTATTGGTGTAACAATCCGCTATATATGATAAGGACTAGGTGATTACTAATATATTCAAATGAGTTATTTAAATTTTTTCAACCTTGCTTTAAGCATTTGCTTCTAAGTCAAAAAAATAATTATTATAATATAAATTTATCTTTTTACTAACAATGTAAATAACACAAAACAATTATTATCCTCTTTCATTTGGGCTGTTTTAATGATTGGTTAGTTTACACGACAATCCTTTTAGGCATTTGATTTAGTTATCTAGATATGATATACCTTATTTGAGCGTTGCCTAATGAAATTGAAATTTGCATTTAAAAGTATTGAAATATGGCCAAACATTATGCTTGTCAAACGGATTTGCAGAAAGTTCGAGATGTAAATGATTTGAAATGTGCTATTCTTTGGAAACGGTTTATTTGCAGTTTAATCTAATATTACGATTTCAAGGAGTGCAAAGTAGAAATAACGTTAAAATTGAAATTTTAAGATGACTCCGACACCTTGTAAAATAGTAGAAAAATGTCTGAGTTAAAGCCACCAACATGGTAACGTATAGAACTTTCGCTGATTTCAAAATTATCCACTTTCTCAATTTTAATTATTTGAATGTTGAAATGAGCCCATTTCTAAAGAAAGTATTGCTATTTTTGCTAGATTTCCAGTTTATATTTACCGCAAAAGAAATCTTTGTACTAAGACGTAAATGTTAAAGAGGACCCAAGGCAATGGTACGATGTAAACAAACTCAGTTTCTGACTTGAGGAAAAAATTCATCCATCAAATGAACACAATGCGCAAACACGGTGTTTTTTTGGAATTCCTGGTTTTGATTTTCAAGTGGACAATTTGGGTTTACCTAAATTCTTCACGGACAAAATTATCTGATAAATATAAAAAAGACAACAAACGTTTCTGCAAATGAAGCAGTTTTGCCCACTCTTTTAGTTGCCGAACTTTATAGCTATGTATTAAACTTTATAAATAAATATTTTTTTCTTAAACATTAATGATTTGAAAAAATTAAAAAAATTATTATTTAAAATGCATAATAATATTGATAAGTAGTTAGTAAGCGAGATTAGAATGTACTACCAGCATCGTAGTAAAGGTGACCTTGAAAATACGTCATTCAAAGCGACATTGCTAATTTGATGAGGTGTTTGAGACAGCTCTATCAGATACTTACAAGTCCATAATCCGGTTTGGCTTAGAAATCACACAATTATACTAGTTGGAAGAAATTAATGTTTAGGCTTTTGGCAGAAAATATTCCCCCGACCAAACAAAAAACACATTTTAAAAAATTAACTTTTTATTAATAATTAACAATAAATAATCAAATTTTATATTTATCTTGATTAGCAGCACTTTTAAGCAGTTTATCAACGCCCCGGGTCCGATTCAAGATCTGCTGAAGCACCAGAAGTAACGATCGGGTCGATGAATGCACTAAGTCCATAATATTTCGAAAGAACAAGGCATATGCCCATCTTTATCAGGACCATTAAAGTTAGGCAGATAGTGCAAAGTAAGGCTTCTATATCAAGACAGAATTTGGGATATATAATTGAAGACAACTGGGAGACAATTCAGAAAACAGTCAACTTTTTTGCACTATTACTGGAGAATATTTATTTATTTATTTCAAATGGCAGGCGTTTTGATAGTTATCATCAGCCCTTTAATTGACTTCGGGCTTCACTAAGGGAAGGAGCATCAATGTGACAT